TCATGACAGAGCAAATACAGTCAATATTGTTGACCACTTCTCTTGGTCTGCTTGCTGGCAGAATTGGTTACTTGCAAAGTTTCAATAAGCCTTCAAGATAAGTGCAATTTTGGCTGCCAACCCCACAAAAGATGCATATCACAGTTTCCATATGCAGCCATTCCCACACACTTTCCACCTCTCACTCCATCAGAGCCATAACAAGGAATTTCAGTTCCTGGGGCAACAGTGGAGTGGGGAAAGGGGGTGTCTAAAGCATAACTGCTTCTGTCAAGGTAAGTTGGAGGTCATGGGAATTGAGGAAGTAGAGGAATTGGGATGCCTGCTGTTCAAATGGAGCAGATACTGGTGTGGAAAAGAAAAAAGAAGCCTAAGATAGGAATTATTGGGGGAGAAAGGGGAGTCAAGCAAAATGGTCCCCATCCTGAAGCATCTTGGATAAAAGTTTGAGGGGGAGGGTATTAAATCCCTTACACTATCTCCTGAAAACTGTCTGGCCTCAGAAACTGCAATAAAAAGGATATCATCTGACCTTTAAAATTTTTTTTAAACAAGACACAGCAGGCTCCAAACGTGACCTACTTTTCCTGCTCTCCTCTACACACAAGAATTGACTAAAATTCTCGCTGACGTCCTTTTTTTGTCTTTCGGAGGAGAAGAATCTTCGTCAGCTGGCCAGGGCCTTTAAGCCATGTCAGGAGGACCAGCAAGATCAGATGTGATGAAGGCCAAATAGGCCTGACTGCATCAAGAATCAGACTGGACTTCTAGCCTCATCAGGGACTTTTAACTGAGCTCATGGAAAAAAACAATGAAAGCCCAATTCAGGCTCTTATGTTGTGCCAGCATTTAATTTAAAGGTTTTTAGCAGCAGCAACTGAAAACAAGATATTATTGATTAGTCATGCAAAACAAAAATTCCTTTTCCAAAGCTGAGGCCTGAAGGAAGGTCCCTTCCTGGGTCACAGCTCCTGCCCCAGAGCTCAATCAGCTTTAAAACCTTTCTGTGGCATTTAACAAATTCTGCATCTGACATTAAAAATTAATTAACTCCTTCCAACCCTGCAAAGAATCAAAACACAACAAAGCTTTAAGGTGTCGGGAGACACGGATTAAAAATATAAGAGACAAGCACCTCACTTAGGGAGAAACCAAGCACAATTTTTAAAAATTAGCAATGTACTGATTTTTTTCTATTTTTACCTCAGAGGCAATGCAGCTTAAGACTGCTAATCTGTGGGTGATTTTTTTTTCTTACATTGGTGCTCCAAATTATAATTCCTAATTGAAAAACATTACTTTCATAATTTGAAAAATGCCAGAGTGTCCCACAGCCCTGGCATCCTGATTCAGATCCATGGGTTGCTTGTTTATTTCCCACAAGATAAAACATGGCTTCTTACAGGTTTTCTGAACAAATCATGGCCTTGTGGCATTTCTTTCCAACAGTACTCCCTCCTTTCCAGGACTGTCCAGGACAGTTTGACTTTCATGTCAGACTTGGCCTTTCTCAAAGTATTGCTTTAACAACAGGGTTTGGATTGGGGCAGCTAGGTGGTGCAGTGGATAGAGCACCGGCCCTGAAGTCAGGAAGACCTGAATTCAAATCTGGCCTCAAACCAAACACTTGACACTTATTTAGCTGTGTGACCCTGGGCAACTCACTTAACCCCAACTGCCTAAAAAAATGAAAAAACAAAACAAACAAACAACAGGATTTGGAGATACTCAGGAAATTAAGACTTTTTTTTTTCCTGGTCTAAATCTGTGATTTCGCCGGTGTAGGTAGGGATTTCCCAGATATAAAATATCCTTCTACCAAAGTAGATCAGCAATTGTTCAGCAGTTTATAGTTTTAAAGAATTGCTTGGGGGCAGCTAGGTGGTGCAATGGATAGAGCACCAGCCCTGGAGTCAGGAGGACCTGAGTTCAAATTCGGCCTCAGACATTTAACACTCACTATCTGTGTGACCCTGGGCAAGTCACTTAACCCTGAATGCTTAGAAAAAAAGAATTGCTTGGAGAATCAAGAGAGTAAGTAACAAATTGCCCAGAGTCACATAAAGCAATGGTTGTCAGAGACAAGGCTGGAGCTCAGGTCTTCCAGACTTTGCAGCTGGCTCTGAATCCACAACACTCCAGAGCCCCAAGGCATAGGAATGACCAAGTGGATTTGATTTTCTGGAAATCAGGATCTGTTTTCCCAGTGTTAGGTCAACTTCATTGGGTGCAAAATGAATACTGCCTCCATTACACCAGAAGGCCCAGCCTGACCACTGCAAAGGCAGGTTCAATAAGGAAAAGCCTGATCTGACAATGACTGGGTAAGTTCCATTCCAACCGGCTAGGTACCCACCCTCAGAACCTCCCCTAGAGCATTTGTGAATGTGTTTGATGCTATTTGTCCTGGGTGCAGGGGGAAAAAACACAAATTTTTGTTATGTTATTGTTCAGTTGTTTCAATTGTGTCTGACGCTTCATGACCCATTTTGGGTTTTCTTGACAAAGAAAGTGGAGTGGTTTGCCATTTCCTTATGGAAAAGTTCTGGCTGTTAACTATCTACAATTTCAAAGACAAGACCCTTTTAGACATGTGGGATCAATAGATCATAGATTTAGAGCAAGAAGTCACCTCAGAGGCTATCTGTTCAATCCCTTCATTTCACAAGTGAAAAAAAATGAGGCTCAGAGAGGTAGTGGCTTGCCCACACTGGGCATTGCACCCAAAGAGTTAGGGCCAGAGTTAGAACCTAGGGACAGGATCTGGTGCTGTACTATACTGTCTCCCAGTTCAGTACAATTATGCAATTCTACAATATCTATCCATAAGCCAAATATAAATTATAATTATGATTACATAGAATACATATGTTAATATACTATGTGGTCACTATACCTTTATGTCTATAGTAGTGTGAATAAAAATTATAGAAGATAAAACCACTGGAAAATTTTTAGCATCTGCCATTTTGTTTCAAGATGGCCAACTGACCTACACAACTAACTTAAGGCTTACCTCAGTACTTTTTAGTAATTTACCAAATATGATCAAAATTGATCATTTTTATAAAAAAGTTGTCATGAAACAAATAAACAAATAGCAAAAACTGGGTGATTGGAAGGAGAGACCACTTTGTCTCTCCTTCCAATCACCCAGTTTTTGCTATTCAAACAAGAGATAGAAAAGAATTAGGGGAGAGGGAGGCAGAGGAAGTATACTTATTTCAGAAGCGTTAAAAATGTACCCAACAAATATAAGGTAGGCAGAATCGTCATCAGAGCATTCTGAACATGGAGCTGTCATCCAGAGGGGCTCTTTCAAAGCTTCAGTCCATCTGGGCTTTCCCTTCTCCCTCATTGGCTCTTTTCCAGTGCCTTTTGCAAGGGGCAGGGCCAGTTAGACAAGATCCCACCAAGTGAGATTGTAGAAGGATCTGCATAGCCCTGGAGTCAGAGGGCTGCTGTCAGCAAATTCTCTAGCATCCAGCGCAGTCTCACTGATGTCTCCAAGCCTGAGGGAAGGGCTCCTACTACCTCCTAGAATACTAACCACATTTGTGCTTGGGCTTCAAGTCTCTTTTGCATGTCTACTGTCCTCAAAAGGAACAGTTTCTCTATTCTTGTTTTTTAGAGAGAGGAAAGGAAGAAAGGATGAGGAGAAAAAGAGAGACAGTGCTAATGAAAACCAGGTCAGCTTTTGTGCTCTGTTTTAACCCAGATTATAATCTCCAAAATTATTTTAAAGAACCTAGGAGGACTTTGGATGAAAACTTGGAGAGGCTTGTATGAACTGATGATAATCAGAAGTCAACAGAACCAAGATAACGGTATGCACATTGACCACAATCAGGTAAACAAAAACAATGCTAAAAGGCATCTAAATACAGAATAACTGCACCAGTACAACTTTTTTCTTAAAGGAAAAAAACCACAATAGGAAAAACAGAGACCCTCTTCACACTTAGCTGGGATGACCCTCAGACAACAGTCCATCTTCTGAGACATCTAGGTGGCAGTGAACTTCTGGAGAAAGACCTACATTCAAATTCTGCTCCAGACATTTCCCAGCTGTGTGACCTTGAGTGAGTCACTTAACCAACCTCAGCCTCAGTTTCCTCACCTGTAAAATGAGGACAAATAATAGCACCTACCTCACAAGTTTGCTGTTGAGGAACAAATGAGAATACATGTAAAGCACTCTATAAGTGCTATATAAATATGATGATTAATGATGACTGATGGTGATTATCCTGGCTGACACTTGAAGCCTTTCCAGATTAACAGAACTTGCCAGGGCATAGCCTTCAAGTACCCAGGGTCACCTTCATGTCAGGAGGAGCCCCTGGAAGATGACTTCAGTGGTAACTCCCAGTCTCAGGGTTTGAAGAATAGCAATGAAAAAGTGTTAAGAGATCTGATGGGAGGAACCACTGATGCACTGGGAGAGAGGAAGAACCGGCCAACATGTCAGAGTACTCAATTCTATAAAGAGCTTAGTCATTTCAGGGCTTAGCAAAGGGAATACTTACTGAAGCCCAAGAATCAGACCAGTCTCAGATGTGGTAGTGGCACAGTAGGCTTTGACCCAGATTCAAAGCAGACTTAATGCTTGCTGCTAAGTAGAAAGAAGAAGGCAATGAAAAGCAACCCAGCCTCTGGGGGAAGGGAGCAGCCCTCCACTGACTGATGCCAACGCAGAGCTAACATTTGCCCAAAGGCCCTGGACCCTCCTCCTCACAAAGGTCCTTTGTGACCAAACAAAGCCTCACAGGAGGAAGAAAAAGCAGCAAATGGAGAGAGCAAAGGAACACAGGAGAGCAAGAGAACAAGGTGGCAGGAGGGAATTTATAGCAATAGAGGATCCTAAAATTAAAAAAATGGATAATCCTGAAGAAGGAAAAGAGGGGTCCTTCAGGCAGTTCCATTGTCTGGATTCTCTTTCATACAAGCAAGTTATCTTATCAACGAGACTTAACAAAAAAAAAAATCACCTTGCCCACCTTTCAAAAAACAGCAGACGCCAGGCCGAGCAGACATTGCAACTGAAAGTTGTAACCATCTGTCCCTTAGGAAGGAAAGTGCCCTGGAAGGTGCCAAACAAATGAACCGTTAGAGTCCTCTATAGCCTTACCTTTTCTTTCCCAGATCCCCAACCTTCTTTAAAAAGAGGAACAGTGAATCCCAGATGTGATCATATAACTTAAATTTCATTCATTCATTTAACAAGAATCTATTAGGTGCCTGCCTCTTTCAGGGTCTGTGCTTGGTATTGGTGGTACAAAGACAAAAACAATACAGTTTCTGCCCTCAAGGTGCTTACATTTGAGGGGAGAAGGGGGAGCATAGGAATACATGTATAAGAATTACATATATACAGATAAGTAAATTTAAAATACTCATGCTAAGTAAATATAAGATAATAGGAGGCAGCTTGGTATAGTGAATGGAGAACTAGCCTCAGAGCCAAGACCTGGGTTCTAATCCTTCCCTCCTCTGATACTTCCTGAGGGACCCTGGATAAGTCATAATGCCACAGTGTCTGGGTTCCTTACGATTCTTTGGTACAAAGAAAATGCTGACCTACATTAGTAGAGGGAATGTCCTCACCAAGGAGCATCTTATTCCAATGAAATCATAGGTTTAGTCCCTTTTCCTATTCCTAAATACAAGGGAATGGGGAGGGGGAGTAATGAAGCCACTAGTGACTGGGAGAAGGATTGGACTTATATAAAAAGTGGCACATGAACTAAACCTTGGGAAAGCAAGGAATTCTAAGAGTGAAGGGAGTATATTCAAAGCAAAGCCTGTGAAAGGATAAGAAATGGAATATCAGTGAACAGGCAGTTTTTGGATGAAGAAATTAAAGCTGTCTACAATCATATGAAAAAAAGCTCTAAATCACTATTGATTAGTGAAATGCAAATTAAAACAACTCTGAGGTACACATCATACCTATCAGATTGGCCAACAAGACAAAACAGGAAAATGGAAAAGATGTGGGAAAATTAGAACACTAATGCATTGTTGGTGAAGTTGTGAACTGATCCAACTACTCTGGAGAACAATTTGGAATAATGCCCAAAGGGCAACCAAATTGTGCATACTCTTTGATCCAGCAATATCACTTCTAGGTCTGTATCCCAAAGACATCACAAAAATGGGAAAAGGACCCACACGTGCAAAAATATTCATAGCAGCTCTTCTTGTGTTAGCAAAGAACTAGAAATCGAGGCGATGTCCATCAATTGGGGAATGGCTGAACAAATTGTAGTATTGAATGTAATGGAATACTATTGTTCCATAAGAAATGATGAGCAGGTAAATTTCAGAAAAACCTGGAAAGACTTACATGAACTGATGCTGAGTGAAGTGAGCAGAACCAGGAGAACATTGTACACAGTAATAGCCACATTGTGAAATGACCAACTTTGACAGACTTAGCTCCTGTCAGCAATGCAAGGATCTAAGACATCTCCAAAAGACTCATGATGGAAAATGCTATCCACACCCAGAGAAAAAACCATGGAGTCTGAATGCAGATGGAAGCATAACATTTTCTCTCTCTCTCATTTTTTTTTCTTTCTCATGGTTTTTCCCTTTTGTTCTGATTCTTCTTTCTCAACATGACTAATGTGGAAATGTGTTTAAGATGACTGTATGTGTATCGCCTATATCAGATTACATGCTGTCTTGGGGAGGGGCGGCAGGAAGGGAGAAAATTTTAAACTCAAAATCTTATAAAAGTGAATGTTGAAAACTAAAACTAAATAAAATAAAAGAAATGGAATATCGGGCAGGAGATGGAATGTTAGGAATGGAAAGCTGCAAGCAGCCCATCTAGTTCAAATACAGAGGATATTATTTGAAAGGAGAGAACATGACCCTGTTCCTCAAGGTTTATTTCCAGTGTGGAGGGTCTAAAAGGCTGGGACGGATCAAACAAAGAAGAGCAAAGACACCCTGAATAGTAAGGAAGAAGTTCTCAGAGCCTTCCTGGGTCCAGAAAACCATCATCTTGAACTACCCAGATCATTTTCTCATCTTAGGAAAAGGAAAGCTAATTGTTTTTCAACTTTCTTCTCTCCTCAAGGCGTCCTGCACTCTTCGTTGTGAGGCCCAGATGAGATAAGGTATATAAAGCATTTCGCAAACTTGATAGGATGACTTGTCAGTTTTTATTGCTGTTATTGTTCTTACAACCATTACGATGAATATCAAAAAGAATTTCCTCAGAGTTTTGCCCTTAGGAAGAAAGGCAGATATGTTCTCGCCCCAGTACAGCTTGTTGACATTTTCTCTTCTGTAATGGGTGAGTTTTTTGTTGGATTTTTTTTGTTTTGTTTTAGTCCTAGAAAAAAAAAACACATGGCCTCCTAATAATAGAGGTCATGGCCTACAGTGGATATGGGGTGGTATGCTTGACCCTGGCTGGGAGTAAATATTCCCTTCAGGAAGGAGCTCAGCTTTCTCTGACAGTCTGATAGAGGAATATTCTGACAAGAGTGGAATACTGGCTGAAGGGACTCTGGGTCAACAGGCTAAAGCTTTTAAGGACTCCACCCAACACTAAGATCCAACATCCATCCAGGAACCTCCAGTCCCAAAGGACCCAGACAGCAATTACTGCCCTAGCAAGCCAACAGTCTTTGTTCTGAAGAAAAGAACGTTGCCTATTTCTAATAATTCCTTGAGCATCAAAAAAAAAAGTCACATTCCTAATTTCCCGCTCCACTGAGCACCAGTGATTTCAAGCCCAATTATTGTTTCCTCTGCACTAAAATGGAGAAAGCGGGAGGGGTAGTGGGGACAGAGAGGAGAGAAGGTTGGAAATTCCAGTAAATGTCAGGCCAAGCTTGGATGGATATGAGTGAAAAAAACACAGGAGTCAGGGGCCTGAGCCCCCTTCCCTATTCAAGACTTCATTTTAAGTCTCCTTGCTCCTGAGACTCAGGGTATTGTTTCATCCTAACGTGTTTAGATTTACATGCAGGTGACTTCACAAGCACCATACTTCTTTTCTGTAGAAGACGCTGAGGTCATCTAAGTTGATAGGCAGCAATCTTGGGTACAGAAGCATCACTAAAGGAAAGAAAAAGTCTAGTCTCGCTCAAAAAATACACATATCCCTTTTTCAGATCTGGCTTCTCAACAAGGGGGAAAGGCAAGCCTGGCAGCCAGACTAATCAAGAGACAAGAATGCAGGAACATATCTTCTAATCTGCAGAACATCACATAACAAAGCAGGTTAACAGATGGTAGATCTTTGGTGACAGTCTCTCTCTCATTGGCATAGCAGTTCAGATTAACCCAATCTTTAACACATTATCATAGAACCCTAGGTTGGGAGCTTGAAGGGACTTTGGAAGTGATGGAGTTCAAACCCTTTATTTTATAGGGGAAGGAGTTGAGGACCAGAGTGATTAAGCAACTTGTCCAAGAACACACAATTATAAGATAATAGGATCCTAGCCAGCAGTCCAATCTTCTTATTTTACAGATGAGGAAAGTGAGGAACAGTGAGGTTTAGTGACTTGCCCAGGATCAGACAATTAGTAAGTGGAGGAGGGAAAGGGAAGGGAAAAGGAAGGGAAAGGGAAGGGAAAGGGGAAGGGGAGGGAAGGGAAGGGAAGGGAAGGGAAGGGAAGGGAAGGGAAGGGAAGGGAAGGGAAGGGAAGGGAAGGGAAGGGAAGGGAAGGGAAGGGAAGGGAAGGGAAGGGAAGGGAAGGGAAGGGAAGGGAAAGGGGAAGGGAAAGGGAAAGAGGAAAGGGGAAAGGAAAGAGGAAAGGGGAAAGGAAAGGGAAGGGAAGGGAAGGAAAGGAAAAGGAAGGGTTTATTTAGCACCTACTATGTGCCCAGCACTGTGCTAAACTCTTTACAAACATCTCATTTGAAGCTCACAATTTCAGGAGATAGGTGTTATTATTATCCCCATTTTACAGTTCAGGAAACTGAAGCAGACCAAAATTTAGTGACTTGCTAGTAAGCATCTGAAGCTGGATTTTTAACTCAGGTGTTCCTGACTCCAAGCCCACAGTTCTCTCCACTGTACACCTTAGCTGCCTCCAAGGCAGGAATCAAACTCAAGTCTTCTAGTGTCAATCCAGTCAGGACTCTCTCTAGTACACCACGCTGCCTCATGAGAATGCATGCATTAATCAAGCATACTGTAAGTATCTGCTTTTGAGAATTTTTTTTAAAAGAGTTTCCCAGTCACGTGACAGGCATTGAGAAGCATTGGCTTATTACTAATGCATCAAAGTGCTCCCTCTCAACTGCCTAACATTGCACGCTCATCTGTTTGTTCCACAGTTGAACATCACTAAAGAATATCAAGCTATTCTCAAGGAAGAAAATCGAGGACACAGAGGGAGGAAAGTGTACAGATATGATTTGGAGAAAGATTCTTGGAAGCAGAAACAGGGATATTGTCATCAGGACACACTATATACTATCTAGAAAGATAGAGGAGTCAATCAGCAAGGATTTATTAAGTGCCCTGGCACTGGAAGTCAAGAAGGTTCAGTTCCCATCTTAGGCCCTTATTAGCTGTGTGATTCTGGGCAAGTCATTTAACCTCTCAAAGCCTCAGTTTCCTTATCTTCAAAATGGAGATAATACAAAGTAAAAAATTAAACGGCCCCTGCTCTGAAAGATCTTACATTCATCATGATCCTAACCCTTCCTTTCCCAGAACCCTACTCTTTTTACCTTCTTTTGTGAATTATCTTCTTCCATTAGATTATAAGCTCCTTAAGGGCAGGGACTGTCTTTTCATATTTATATCCCCAGCACTTAGCACAGTTTCTGTGACATAGTAGGCTCTTAATAAATGTTTACTGACTGAAGAGAGACAACATGTAGATATGTAAGTACACATAAAATATAGGGCTAAAGAATGGACAGGTGATTTTATTAGTTCACAGAATTTCCAGGTGAGGAAACTCCATCTACCAAAGCAGGTGGATACCTTCTCTGTAACTTATAGTCTTAGAGGGTTGTTTGGGGCACTAGGGAGATAAATGACTTACTCCAGATCATGTAAACAGGTTTTGTCAGGGGTGAACTTTGAACCAAAGTCTTATT